TGTTTTCCGCGGCCGTCTGGAAGGCTCTTTTGATATTAGGAAGCTGCTGGACCTCATGCACTTTTAAGTCATCTCGATTTAAAACGAATTTATTTAGAACTATTTTTTGTTGTCCTTCCCCTGCACCTCCGATTAGCACGGTTGACTAAGTACGGTGCGAACGAAGTTCAACATACACACACACGGTGTGGTTTGAGTCGTGTGCCTGGTGCAACATGCTGAGTGGGTGTCGACATTATGTCCAACTGTCAAGCGTAAAAGTGTATACCTAAATTAAATAAATCTACCCCCCCACCACCCTCCGATTGATCTCGTAATATGTTGTGCATAGGTATATAAGTCCATCACCCTATTGGTCCTTCAGACCAATGTTACCCATCGATAGTTGCTGTCGAATGCATGTTGTGTAGAATGCACAACACTGGAAAGTATCCTGTTGACAGTTCATCTCTCCATATTTCTCGAGCGCACTCTCCAGCTTTTTAGTTCAATTTGTTTTGCTACCGAGCACGCGTCTGTGAATATATCTGGCAGCAGCTGGCTGCGCAACCATGTCACGCGTCTCCCTTTGGGCTAATTGGCGCGTTGCTTCATTGATTACGTTCAGCCAGAGCCGGATTATCCCAGGAGCAAAAGTAGCAAATGCTACAGGCCCCGCACTTTCAAGCGCCCCCGCGCTAAACGCTTTCAAGCTATCAATTCCGGTTCAGTGATTCTGCACTCGCTCTATTACTATAGTACTATACCGCCTTCAACTTTTATGAACGACTGGGTGTTTAAGGTTAGCGATTTGTCGTATTATCTGGCTGTATAGCAAATGAAAAAATACAATTACTTCCCTATGCAAGTTAAGAGATTGTCTTTTAATATTTATGTTAAAATGTTTATTTAGGGCCCCTTTGTAACAACACATACTGCAGGCCCGCACTAGCTTAATCCGGCACTGCGTTCAGCCTTAACTTTGCAATCGCAATCCAACTTTCACTCGTCAGCCTGTACATTGCTTCCGTTTGCGACCCGGCCGCCTATTCTGCTGTGATATTTTCCAGTTGCGTCCCTTCGACAGATACTATCTCCAAAGTATTTAGCAGCGCTGTTGTAAACTACCTTTCACTCCCATATTTAAGACCGAAAACAGGAGGACTTCTTTACAGATATGTATGTCGCCTGATGAAGCTGGTTGTTGTAATCACAAGGTCGTACTCGAATTGTAAATATTGTGGGTTTACTCTCCAACACACCGCCGCTGTGCTGAATTAGTAACTAATTAGCACGTTTAATTTACGTGACAAACCTTACTATTTGGCTGTGTTGGGTGGTGGTAGGTTTCACGACACATTTACATTGGCCTAATGTAACCCAAAAAAAACACCTTGCTATTATAGATTTATATTTGTAGTGAAAGCCTACTACTTGTTAAACAAACCACCTTGGGTTTGCTAAACAATATATTTGGTGAAATTGCCTTGGCAGGTGGTGCACGACATATTACGCCATTAACACTGCCTGTTGAGGAGAATACGTATTTCGCGCAATTGCCATACTTCACACTACATAGGCCAGGTAGGTAGAGTGGGTAACACTTCTCAGATCTCTTACCTTTCTGGCCTCTCTATGCGCTGTGCAGAAGGACCATAGCCCAAAACGTCACCTATTTTTTTTTATCAGGTAAGACCAGCTGAGGTGTATAGCTCTTTGTCAAAAGTGAGAACTGGAACCCAAATGACAGCTCAACGAAGTGGCTTACATCGAGTAGAAATGTAAAGCAGCCAAATACTCGAAACACATGTTGATTCTACACGTGGAGGGGGAAAACCGGAGGACCCGGAGGAAAATCCATGCGACCAAGGGGAGAGAGACACGCAAACTCCAAATGTAAAGCAGGCATCAGGGTGGATCTGACCCACGACCTCCTGTATACCAGGTGAGCTATTTAACATCCCATACCTAAATAATGGTACAACTTTGTTTTAACTTTGTTTTAACATTATTTACTAATACTTAACTTTGTTTTAACATTATTTATTAATACTTATTCATTAGATTCGAAGCTTTCGTAACTGCAGGAATTACTCTTTGGTTCTTTCGGTAAAGTCACGTATAAAGAAAATGAATTAAATAATAACAGAATACTACCTTTCGATTACAACACAAGCAACCATCATCAGACACGAATGAATGAGAAAACAAACATAGCAAACTGAGCAATATAAGGGAATACAACCCAGAGAGTCGGCTAACACAACAGTCAACATCCTACCTGGTTGATTAACGTTCTTCCAAAGAATGCTAAATTTGAGAGAGACTAAACACAGACACGGAGACACAGACACACACACAAGTGTTCTCTCTCTACTTGTGTGTCTGTCTGTGTCTCATTAATAATAGTACAACTTTTGTGACCATTATTTACGCCGAGCCCAACTTTTCAGCCTTGTATATGGACTCCTTCTGACTGTTGCATGCAGTTCGTTCCCGTTCGGACGTTATAATGCCTCTGGCCTTGAACAAATGTGAGATGCTTCATCGTGATCGAGATGGCTGAGGTCCCCCACTTTGAAGGGGGATCAGATGGGGTGACACGCTTTAGCCAAAGATATTCGCAGAGACGTTGTAAACACTTTCCTCAAATCCTATTGGAGAAAACAAAGGGATGAATGGCATTGGAGAAAAACACCAATCCCTTAAGTCTGAAGCCTCGAACCCCTAATAACCCCTGCGGTGGTGGTGGCGTTTCGGTGGGGGCTGAGTAGAAATGATTTACTCGGCTCCCCTCTGTTCAATTTATAAACTCCAAGTGAGATGACGAAGCTTGGGTGGTGAAGAAGACATCGAGAGAGAGAGATAATGAAATGACTCGAGGTGTGGAGACGACAGAGATATTTTGAGATGAGATGTAGGACGAGAGAAAAAAACTGCAGTATCAATATTCAAAAAAAGTGTTCTAATGAGATGGAGATTCTTGAATGAGAGACGAGCGATGCGGATTGAATAGAGGCTGAGGGAGATGCGAGAGCAAATCAATGGAGCTATGCACTTTTAAATAGTTGACATTGAAGACTCATTTATTTAGAGCTGCTTTTGTGTGTTTAGTTTGTTGTCCTTACCCCGCACATACGATTCGCACGGTTGGCTACGTACGGTGCGAAAGAAGTTCAATATACAGTACATACATATAGGAAATGTAGTTATATCTAGAGCACGTTGCAGAAACACGAATACAGATGTTCTCAGTGAATCTCACGCCCCCCCCCCCCTTGAGCTATTTGGGACCGCGTGCTTTTGCGTTTTTTAACCATCTCAAATATTTATATTCTTGGTTCTTTTGGTAAAGTCACGTAGAAGGCAAATAATAAAATAATAAAAAATATTAAACAATAAAATTCTCACGACGTTTCGACTGCAACACAAGCAATCATTATCAGGTGTGAAATCCACAGCCAGAAATGTTTTTCTTGCTGTGGATTTCACACCTGACGATGATTGCTGTGGACTTTGTGACTTTACCGAAATAACCAAGAATATAAATCCCTGCAGTCACGAAAGCTTTAAAAAATATTCTCAAATAGTATGATTATTAGACGCGCACTCGTTTCCATCCCTGTGCAATCTTTATAAAACTACGAAGGTCGCTTTTGGAAAATAAGTTCATGCCTCAGTGAACTTTGTCTGGTAGGATGGGGATGGCTTCGTTTTTATTTGTACGTGTTTGGGTGATCTGTTTACCTTTATTGGACTTTGCACTCATATACATCATGTTTTTGTACTGTTTGTTGTTGTAACCTTCTTACCCCGTACCCCGACTGAACATCTGTGAAAAAGGGTTTTATAGCTCATCGGATTCCTCCAGTGGGTGGGGGGGGGGGGAGTCTGGTGGGGGAGCTTGGTGGGGGGGGGGGGGAGCGTGGGGGTGGTGGGGGGGGGGGGGAGCTTGGGGGGGGAGCTTGGTGGGGGGGGGAGCTTGGTGGGGTGAGCTTGGGGGGGAGCTTGGTGGGGGAGCTTGGTGGGGGGAAGCTTGGTGGGGGGGGAGCTTGGTGGGGGGGGAGCTTGGTGGGGGGGAAGCTTGGTGGGGGGGAAGCTTGGTGGTGGGGGGGCTTGGTGGGGGGGGGGCTTGGTGGGGGAAGCTTGGGTGGGGGGGGGATTGGTGGGGGGGGATTGGTGGGGGAGCTTGGTGGGGGTGGTGATGGGGGGCGGAGCTTGGTGGTGGGAGCTTGGTGGGGGGGGAGCTTGTTGGTGGGGGGGGGGAGCTTGGTGGTGGGGGGTGGAGCTTGGTGGGGGGGGGCTTTGGTGGTGGGGGGGGGAGCTTGGTGGGGGGGGGGACTTTGTGGGGGGGGGACTTGGTGGGGGGTGGGGGAGCTTGGTGGGGGGGGGAGCTTGGTGGGGGGGGGGGAGCTGGTGGGGGGGGGGATTTGGTGTGGGGGGGAGCTTGGGGGGTGGGGGTAGCTTGGTGGGGGGGGGGGGGGAGCTTGGTGGAGGGGGGGAGCTGTGGGTTGGGAGCTTGGTGGGGGGAGCTTGGTGGTGGGGGGGGAGCTGGTGTTGGGGGAGCTTTGTTTTGTGGGGTGGGGAGCTTGTGGGGGGGGGGGGGAGCTTGGTGGGGGGGGGGGAGCTTGGTGGGGGGGGGGGCTTGGTGGTGGGGGGGGGAGCTTGGTGGGGGGGGGGGGAGCTTGGTGGGGGGGGGGAGCTTGGTGGGGGGGGGAGCTTGGTGGGGGGGGGGAGCTTGGTGGGGGGGGGGGAGCTTGGTGGGGGGGGGGAGCTTGGTGGGGGGGGGAGCTTGGTGGTGGGGGGGGGAGCTTGGTGGTGGGGGGGGGGAGCTTGGTGGTGGGGGGGGGGGAGCTTGGTGGGGGGGGGGGGGGAGCTTGGTGGGGGGGGGGGGGAGCTTGGTGGGGGGGGGGGGAGCTTGGTGGGGGGGGGGAGCTTGGTGGTGGGGGGGGGGGAGCTTGGTGGTGGGGGGGGGGAGCTTGGTGGTGGGGGGGGGGGAGCTTGCGGTGGGAGCGGTGGGGGTGGTGGTGGTTTGGTTGTGGGGGTGGTGGGTGGCCCCTGTGATGGCGGCGTCAGTGACAGTGTCCGTCTTGGCTCCCAATGGCCGGAGACAGAACGTGCGGATCGGGGCCAGCACCCCGCTCATGCAGGTCAGTCGCTCGCTCGCTCGCCCGCCCGCCCGGCACATGTCTTGTTTCATCCCCGCAGCCCAGAGACGCGCGCCAGGAGGCCCGACAAGAGACGGCGGCCCGTCATTGTTGAAGGCCGCCGGCGGAGCCTACGGCCTTGCCTAGAAAGTGGCGCCCAGCGACGGGGAGGGCGACCCCGCCCGTCTCGCGACGACGCCGCCGCCGCCGCCGTCGCATCGGCGTCGATTTTCGCGCTTTCGTAGTCGTGATCGGGGAGGCTTGCGGGTTTGAACGGCTCGCAACGGCTATGCTTTGCGAGTGTTCACGATTGTTGAATTGTGTTGAAAGTCGGAAGGTAAAGGTTTGTTTTACGAGGGAGCCGGGAAGAGGCCTCGTCGCCCCGAGCCAGCGGTGGAAATTCCACATTTCTATGGCGGCGGCGGGAGTTCTTTGTATGACGGCAAACCACAACGGCGTGGCAACAGGTTTTAACCACCCTGATAGATCTGTGGGATTACACAATTGGCAACATTGTTTTTGTGAAACGATCACTGGTGAGGGTAGCCTCATTGAGAGCCGACGGGACACACTTTGTGCGCGTTGGGGCCTGCACTGGGACACACAATGTTGCGGCGGACGTGGTGAAAGGAGGTAAATGCAGCGTGCGTGTAAGGAATTAATAAAACAAACTTCCAACAAATTATGTGCGGAGTTGGTCGGCGACCCGTGTACTGCACTTTTTTTTGCTGGTTTTTCCTGGATTTTTTTTGTTTGTGGATTGTCACTCTTGTTAAGATGTTTTTCTTGTTCATGTTTTAGTTTTTTTGTTTGTTGCTGTTGCACCCGATTCAAGAGCCGAATGGCTCACAGGGCTATAATGTGCCTAATAAATGAAACTGAAATGAAAACTGAAAACTGCACTGCCATCTACCGGCCATCTACGACAGGAAGGTTTTTTTTTTACATGAACGGCGAATGAAACATATATAAGAATGCTTTTTTACCCTTTTCTGGCAATAAAACAGTTGTGTTCAGATGTTCAGACACCAAATAGATGATACCTTTTGCAAGGAATTTGAACATCTTGACACAGCTGTTTTTTTTTCTTCTAGAAAGGGTAAGTCCTATTATATAGTTTTCATACTTTTATACTGGCAAAAATGGTCCCATCTTAATTTGGAGCTTTCGTGACTGCAGGAATTATTCTTTGGTTCTTTCGGTAAAGTCACGTATAAAGATAAAATAATAATAAATTAAGAAATTAAATAAAAGCATACTGCTATTATTGAATTTATTATTTTATCTTTATACGTGACTTTACCGAAAGAACCAAAGAATATAAGGGTCCCATGTTGTAGCTGCTCACGCCCAGCTATAAATGTCCTGATGGTTTCATTATCTCTGTGCTGTTCGCCTTTTGGCGTTCTTTGGTCTGACACTGGGAAGACAAAGCCATGAAGAAAGCCGTCTCTGGTGTATGCCAATCAGTTTCACAGACAGTACGTATACTATCAGAGCCGTGTGTTGTTTTCATGATCACCACAAGTACGTGTGGTTAATACAGACTTGATCCCTCGCAAAAGGTTTCTATTTGGTGTTTGAACATCTTCACACGAATGTTATTTCCAGACAGGGTCAAACCTATCCTTATTTTTTCATACTTTGATTCTGGCAAAAAGGTCCCATTTTCTTAATAGCGCAGTGTCATCATCTTTCCTGGGGTTGAGGGAAATGAGTTGGCACAATCTGGTGGTATGTCAACCAACACTGGTTGCGTTGACGACGGGTGGCCGAGGCTGTGTCATAGGCGTGTGGATATAACTGTTCGTTAAATGGGTATTGTTGTAACTCGCTCACCTGTCCCTACTGGACAAAGATATTCACAGATACGTTATAAACACTTTCCTCAAATCCTATTGGAGAAAGCAAAGGGATGAATGGTATTGGAGAAAAACACCAATCCCTTAAGTCCAAATACTCGAACCCCTAACAACCCCTGTGGTGGTGGTGGCGTTTCGGGGGGGCTGAGTAGAATTTATTTGTTCGGCTCCCCTCTGTTCTATTTATAAACTCCAAGTGAGATGACAAAGCTTGGGTGGTGGAGAAGACATCGAGAGAGAGATAATGAAATGACTCAAGAGATGGAGACAACAGAGATATGTTGAGATGAGATGTAGGACGAGAGAAAAAAAAAAGTGCTTCATAGCTCATTGGATTCATCCAGGCTAAATAAAGATTCTGAAAATGCTGTGCATCGTTTTTTTGTGTTGCTTCCGCAGGTACTGGAGGAAGTTTGTAAGAAGCAAAACTTCAGTGCTGACGATTATGACCTCAAGTGAGTGACATTCGCGTGCATGTGGGACGTCCACCTTCATGGGAATTTCCTTAAACTTCACGAAGCTCACAGTATTGAGGTCACCCGAATCCTCCACTACCTCAACCCAACCCTATTCAAACCATCAATATCTTCATAACTCTATCCAAGACTGCACTGACTTACCCAACGATCCAGTATTGTAATCCCTAGCCTTAGCTTTTCCATCCCTACTCTGCCTTGCCGACCTTAATAGAGTGCTCCTGATGTAGCATTAGCATCTGGAATCACCTGGCCACTTCCAACACTTAACTTTATAATCCAACCCTCACCAGCTCACAAAAAACAACAACATTGACCTATGTCAGTGTTTCTCAAACTTTTTTGGCCAGTTGACCACTCAGCCGATCCAAACCTTTTCGCGGACCATCCAGCTCCCTATCTCTGTTGGCAAAACGCATTAACTCATCTCTCTAAATACCAGTAATACAAAATCATTCATATTACCGGAACATATATATTTTTTCACAGCTTTAAGGTTTTTTGGGGGGTGGGGGGATGGGGGGTGCATTTATATCTTCGGGTTAGGGTGGTTTAATACAGGTAGTTTACCTAACTTAATGTTTATTAAATATAAGTAGAACATGAATTCACGTCACAAACAAAAGGTATAAACGTGGTAATTATTTCCGGATCAACCTTCATTTGCATCAGAGCCTCGCGGGACCCCCTTGAGGACCATCGCGGACCACTGGTGGTACCGGGGACCACGCTTTCGAGAACCACTGGGCTTTGTTGTCCACTGCTCTCGGTGCCGATTTAAATTTCTCCTCCTTTACCTGAACCTCCCTACTCCCTGTTACGTCCATCGGACCCCCCAGATTCCAGAGGAGCATTCTGGACCTGAGCATGCAGGGACGTTTCGCCAACCTGCCGAACAATGCCAAGCTGGAGATGGTGCCGAGCTCACGGCAACGTTCCTCTGTCGAGGCGCAGGTGAGATCCTGCGAGGTGCTCGTCTCTTCTCGAGACCCTGCTGTGCCCATTAACCAACCCCTTTCCCCCGTTCCGAGATGACTGCAGGTTGCTGGGTGTGTCGTCCCGTTCACCGCTGAATCTCAGAAATGCGCAAGCGGGTTCGGCGTGAATTTTATTTAGAGAGGTGTAGTAGCGCCGTTCTTTTTAAAGACATTGTACTCACCGCGGAGAGCCATAGCGACATGACCGCACTCCAGGATAGCTGGTGCCAAACCGTGCCACACGCCCTCCCCGCATGGCCTTGTGGGAACCTCGGTACCGATAATATTATTTTATTGTAGTTCTTCTGGTTCCGTTCCGATGACGTACACGTCCACATATGTTATCAGAATGGAGTCAGAAGAAAGACAGATAACGTACACAGACGTCATCGGAACGCTCCCTCTGTCTGGCAAAAACCAGAGCTGTGTGGTTATTCGGTGGCTGGGCCTGTGGGACGTGCCTCACTTTCCACAGGAGTCAACTGATGGGATGTCGTCCAGATGTTTGTAATGCCCGTGAGCTTCTCCTGTGATCCTACCTGGATAAAGTTAGGAAAGATTAGATTGGAGAAATGTGAGCCTGACTGTTTCAGGCTAGCATGAGCATTCCTGCACAGGGAGCCATTTACCAAGAGTAGCAAAGTAGGTGGTGTTATTGTGGCTGCGAATACGTGAAGCTAAGCAACAATATAAAGACAAATAATCCTTCCAATATAGCCATATCAGACTGTCGGGGCAAGTGATGTTCGTGACCACCTATGAAAACCGGCACGGCGCATGAGGGAACACACTCAAGACATGCAAAACAACAACAACTCTTATTTATCATTAAGTCACAGCGACGTTACCACGGCTCTTGTGCCAGGTTGGGTGCACTTTGAGGCCACGTGAAGTGTCGAAGGGTCGCTGACAGAAGGTCACGGGACAGACCCAGGTTCCACGGGTTGACTGACTGAGATGACTGGCAGATGCACCAGCTGTGCCCCCTACTGTGCCAACAGATGCACGCACACACACTTACGTACACGCGTGCACGCAATCTTACACATACCGCCCAAATTGGCGAAGCGCGCGAGCCTGCGAGCTGACAGGACGGCCCGGGATGTCCGCCCGCCTGTCTTCGCCCCCTGTGGCCCATGTTGCTCCCACATGTCTCATCCGGTGAACTTCAAAGAGCGCACGGTGGTTTTTACACGGGGTGGGCCGCTCTCCGCCGAGTGACACCTGTATCGAAAAGGTTAATGCGGCACATGCCGCCACCACCGCTGCCGGCAACGGATTTGGCATGAAGGGGGGGGGGGGGCATGGGCGTTGGGGTAGCAGCAGCGGTGGTCCGGCTCTGCATGCCCCGGAGGCCGGCGTGACAAAACGGGAGCTCTTCATTTGATGCGGCAGGAATGCGTCAGCGCCCTATCCACTGCTCCAGCGTCGTCGACAGATCCATCTCGCGTGCGCGTGCGCGTGTGTGCGTGTGCGGCCGTTTGACCTGGCCGGTGGAATTCTCTTGAGCGTTGTTTTGTAAGACATCAACGCGATGAGTGTCATGTTGAGCGTGGCGGCTTTATTTGCCGTGTCAGGAACGGCTTGGCGAGTCGGAATCGGAATATTTGTTCATACTGGAGGAATCCGCTGAGCTATGAAGCTCTTTTTCACAGATGTGCAGTAGGGGGCACGGGGTCAGAACGTTCCAACAACAAACAATACGAAACACAATAGGAGTGCAAAGTATAGGAAAGGTAAACAAATCATTTTTTTTTTTTATCTACAAATAAAACTAAACTATTTTTATGTTACCAGGTAAAGCCCACTGAGCTATTAGCTTCTTTTTCAGAAGCGAGCTGGCCACGAATGATAGCTCAACAAAGTGGCTCATGATGTGGAAATTGATAGCAACAAAATAATATAAATAATCTCAATGCATGTTTCTAAAGATTACATTTTGAGATAACATTTTTGGAAAGGCCCTGCTTTAGAATGTTTGTCCAAGTTAACTTTTTCTTTAATGCATTGTTCTCAGTTTTTTTCTCAGCATTATTATTTGACATTTGTGTCTTTGTAAGGTAATAGAAAAATAATAATTTAGCTTATTCACCGAGGAGCCCTCTGCCGTATTTATCAGAAACAGCAATTAATGGGTCGCTCCTTGCTCAATGCAATGTAAGATGATAAGTTGGGTACGATATGGTCAACATTGTTGTGGATTGTGCTAGCTCAGGGGTTAGGCAAACTTGCGTCTCCAGAGCCACGTGTGGATCTTTAGTACTGCAGTTGCGGCTCTTGAAATTTGAAAGAAATCACTCTTATTGTTATTTTGGTTGCCGACCCTGAGCATGGAAGTCCAGTTTACCATGGAAGTCCAGTTCACCATGGAAGTCCAGTTTACCATGGAAGTCCATTTCACTATAGAATTCCAGTTCACCCTGGAAGTCCGATTTACTATGGATGTCGAGTTTACCATGGACGTTCGGTTTACCATGGGCAGAGATCAGCAACCTGTGGCTCCAGAACCGCATGCGGCTTATTATGGACTCTTCAAGGGCATTGTGGTCCTTGAAATATTGCCTATTTAACCGAATTCGAAAAAATTACTCAAATTATTGTTTTCATTGCCGACCAACCACTGTGCGAGCTAAACCACCCCTTCACATATGAGCCCTTTTGCACTTAAGGTGCTCGCTAAGAGCATTTGCCATATCAGTCTGTAACAATAAATGAGTGGTGAGCTTTGTCTTCATATTTTTAAACATATGTGAGATCAAAATTAGTTAGAGCTCTCATAAAATCCCGGCCATCATTCAATTCCCAGCAATAATCTCACATCACATTGAATGCACACCACCAATGCTAACTCAGTGGTAATCGGTATCTGAAGCTAACCCTGCCATTGGTCCACTCATCCCAAAATAATTTTACCTGGTGTGTGTGTGCACGCGTGTGTGTGGGGAGTGGTAGTGTCGTTGTTAGCACGCTGCACTACGAACCCAACGACCCGAGTTCGATTCCCGTTCGTGGCCAACACCGGTGATAATTATCTGCACCGGTCCTGGGCCTCCCTGAGGTCGACTCGGCCTCAAATGAGTACCTGGCGCGGTGTGTAAACATCGTCACTAGGGAGACAAAGGCGGCCAGGTGTGGTGCTAACCACCCACCGCCTCGTGCCGTGCCGGCCTTCATAGGTGCTACACGCTAACAGCACTTGCTCCGATCGTCTTACCAGGCTACACAGGGGATCTTTCTCTTTGTTTCCCCCAGGTGCGCATTGCTCTGCAGGCGCCGGACGGGACGAGAATGCAGCATGGCTTCATGACGAGCGCCACCCTGTGGGACGTTGTCACGAACTTCCCGCAGAGCAGGTGCCGAGTCTGCGAAGCAGAGGAAAGGGCCAGACTCCTCAATTGCACTCGTGAAATGAGAACAAGTATCGCCCTCAGTATCACTCCACTCGCTCCCAGTATATTCCACAAACACCATCTTCAGAGATCCTCCGTTGACTCATCCCTGCGTACCGCTCCCCCCTCATTTCTCTCTACTCATCTCCACACACTCTCCTACCTCTCACCTCTCCACTCCCCTCCACACACTGACCTATCTCTCCCCCACTCACCTATCTCCTCCCCTCCAGACAAACTCTTTCCATCTCTCCCCTCTCATCTCAGCCAACTCCCCTCCGCACGCTCTCCTGTCTCACTCCAGCAACCAAGGCTTTCTGCAAAATGCCTCCAGGCAATCTTTTCTCAGTGGGAGGTCGCTAATTCTCATCTGCTGCCCTCATATTGTGGAACTTACTCTCTTCCCCGCTGTCCGTGCTGTTGGCTCCCTGTCCCCTGTTCAAGTCGAGCTAAAGACATTCCTCTTCTCTTCTGCCTGTGACCAGGACTGCCTCTCTCTATAAAGTAAACACTCCTACTGTTTCCGTACAGCGCCCTGAGATGCGTTCTCATTTAGCTGCCGTATAAATCAAACGTCGTATTTCAATAGGGAGTAGTCTTCCTCGGTTGACGCTTTTAATCCATTGGACGAAATCTACTGTTAGCCGGATTAACTGTTAATCGATTATAGGAATTGCATGTTAAAAGCAATAATCCGTTCCAAGACGGTCGGAAGTTGACATTTTTGATCCTAAAAACATAGTTTGAAACCAAACAGAAGACGTATCATGTAAGCAAAGCCAGTCGAGGTCTAAACGTTGACAAATGGGCGTCGCTAATTGGCTGAGGGCATGGCTCAGCCCCAATTACAAGCACTCAGATTGGCCGAAATTGGCGTCCACGTGCGTAACGTAAACACGCCGTTAATCTACATTTTTTACGCGAGTCGAAACCATGGGATACTATGTATGGGAGGCAAAACTTTAACCGAAAAACCGTGAACCGATGTCACTGTTGAACCCAGGGACTGCTGTATAAGACTCAATATACGTACAGCTCTCATCTGCTAGATAAGCCAACTCCACACTCGTATTGAGTGTGGGGACACTTTGGCTCCGAATGCGTGTTGATGTTTCTTGTTTTTTTTCTTCTGTTTTCCAGGTTGGTTGTTGAGCAGCAAGGTGAAGGTTCGACCCCTGCCTGTGTGTTCACCCATGACGAGGTGCGTGATGAGAGCTGATGCTACAGGGGGAAGGCTTCACTGGGTGGGGTTTTCTCAGCCTTGTCATCTTACTCAGTGGTTCTTTACCTTTGTTTGGCTACCGTGTTACCCCCCGCCCCCACCCCTTGTTGCATTTAGTTTCAACCGAGTACCCACTACTCCCCCTGTCCCCCCCCCACTTGCCTGACCCAACATGGTTCTGAGAAATCAATGTACGAATAATGAACATCAATATTTTAACTCAATTGTCCATTTTGTGAGGTATCCTAACTTAGCTAGGATACCTCACCAAATGCTTTTTACGAGACGAATGTCATCAAATGGCACCATAGTGTGCTCGATAGAGAATATTGTTTCGCGCAATAAACCGGTGTGATGTGAAACACGTGCAAAATAAAGGCGTCCATAAAAAAGACGGTATTTATACGAAGAGTTTTGCCAATGGTGGACACTCCCCAAGGTGGATTTGCGTAGAATTTGCCACCCCAGGTGGTACCCATCAATCAACCCCCTTGGCTCAGGGACGATATGTCCAGATTAGTTTGCCGGGGAAATGGATGTAGTCCATGTTCGGTGCATTGCTTCCGTGCCTCCCTTGATTTTCTTTGTTTTGGAAATCGCAATGGTTCGTTATTCTGTGGATGATGCCGTGGGTGAGTCTTTTGTATTGCGAAATCGAACGTCGGGCTTTCTTTGAGGATCCACTTGGTCTTGCGATGGAACCTTCTTTAATGGTTTGCACGAGTTTAGGAATATTAAAAAAATGTGGCAAGTGAACGAATTGATGAAGCACAAGAAGATGACGTATTAAAACCAAAACTGTCACCGTGCCCCAAAAGAGCATTGGATGGCTCCCTTATCGATTGGTACCAGCGGTGGAAAATTCACATTGCCATGGCCGAATCCAGTTTCAACGTGTGGCGGGACTGCTTTTGACCTCCCTAAAATAATATGGATGTTTATAAATCACCCTGGCTTGAAACACTTTCTAATTGTGTGTATAACAATGCGGTACCCATGTGTGGGTGTGCGTTGTGATTTTATTACCTCCAGTATGTTGGAGAAGAGGTTCTGAAAAAGACCACGCTTAAAAGTCTGGGTATAACGGGCGGCAGCGCCATCATCAGGTAAGCATTAACCTAGCGGTGAGTTGGGAATTATGGTTAGGGTTTTGGTAAGGATTAGGTTAGTTTGGTCGGAGTCATGGCTAGCAGTTAGGGTTTTGATTTGTGTTAGGGTTATAGTGGGGGGTTTGTGGTTGGGGTTTTGATTATGGATAGGTGTTGGTGCTTTTATGAGGGCTATGGTTATGAGTCTTGATAGAGTTGGTGGAGGGTTAAGAGTTATGCTCGGGTCAGGCTTATTGTTAGGTAGTTATGGCTAGATTTTAGGGGATAGGGCATGTTTAAATAGCAGGGCACAGTGCCCACGCATTCATGAATACTGCTTCACCGCTAGAACTCCCTTTAAGTCCCCCCCCTCCCCACCAGAGCTATATCAGCTGCTATGTCGTTAGCCGGGCCGCATGAGGTCACGCAAGGTCACGACACCACGCCGTTGTTCCGCGCAGGTTCCTCGTCAAGAGGGAGCTGACCTCCTCGTCAAGAGGGGGCAGACCGAGCGACGGCGAGGGTCCCTCTCAGCTCCTTGCCGACCCTGGCGACCCCGGCGACCTCCAGCCGGAGCCACGAGGAGGGGGGTCTCCACGCCCCGGCACATCCACGCAGAAAAACAACAACGTTGGCAACGACAATGACGATGGCGGCAACAGGACGCCTGTCGCCCCGTTCGTACCATTTGGCGGCGGCGGTCAGCGGCTGGGGGGGTCGGACGGAGGAGCCGCCGGTGGTGGTGGTGGCGTCGTCGCCGCTCAACACCGGGTGGTCCCTTCTACGTCGGCCTCTGCCCAGGCTAGGGCGGCCACGGGCCCGACACAGGCCAAGAAATACCGCGTCGACCGCGGGGAGGAGCAGGAGGTGGATACGGTGAGCCAGGCGAGTTGCGTGGACTTGGTTCGCTCTAGCGGCTGTAGGGGCTCACCTGGAACCGACTGTTGTGCTGGGCGCGCGACTCACAGTTTCAATTCAAAATAACAGCAATGACCAATTCTTACACGCACGACAAGTCGGTCGACTCGCGGGTCGCGTGTGGCTGGGTAAAGCGTGGGTACTCCCACCACTTCCAAGAAGCAGTAGAGAAGGCAAACTACCCTCTGGAGGGGCTCTTAAGAGCTTCCCCGAGTGGAGGGTCCTCCTTCCGTCGTCAGCGGGAGCGCGAACGAGAAACTGGAGGGCTGCTCCGTCCCGCCTTGAATCCGCGATTTTGCGATCATTTTCGCCCAGCTCGACATGTTCGCTAGACACGGCCGCGCGGCCGATCTGCTTCCACGTTCCGGTCTCCTCTCAAGGTTGGTGCCGCCCATTCGACGGGCAGAAAATCGGTCGTGCAAAAAAAAGCGTACAAGCGCGCGGAGGGAGAAAAGCGGCATGCGCGCGCGGGCGCACGAATGACCACATTTCTTCGATGCGTTTGCTTACGCCCGCACGAGCATGCTTTCTCGCACGTATGCGCTGAGCGTAAGCAGGAAACCCAGTGACCCGAGTTCGATGACCGGTCATGGCTGACCGTGGCCAGTGATATAAAATTGACTCCTGCCCGCCCCCCTCCACCACTTTTAAACTATTAAACAATGTCTTATTTTAGCAGGTAAGGCCCGCTGAGCTAGAGAGCTCTTTTTTAAAATCAACCTGGCCACAAATGATAGCCCAATGAAGTGGCTTACCATCTGGAAATTTATATCAGCCAAATACTCTAAACGCATGTTTTACTGGGTGGAACCTCCTGGTTACACCAGCCCACATGGGATTATTGTGTCCGTCCGTCCGTCGTGCAGGGAGGGATTGGGTGGGGAGGGCTGGGTGGGGAGGGTGGGGCTGGGTGGGGAGGGTGAGAAGGGGCTGGGTGGGGAGGGGCTGGGTGGTGAGGGGCTGGGTGGGGAGGGGCTGGGTAGGGAGGGGCTGGTCACCCCGTGGTGCCCTTATAAAACTCAACGTTTAACCTACTCACGCCGGCTTGTGCCCGCCCTCACAGTCGGGCATATTTGCGGAATACACCACGCCGCCGTTGACCCTGGCCATTGACCGAGCAACCCAACGTTCCTACCAGCTCCCTCCGCAGGAATGTGTTTAAATGTGGAGGGAAAGCCGGAGGACCTGGAGAAAAAGCCATGCGCCCACGGGGAGGGAGAGAGAGAGAGAACACACAAACTCCAAATATACAGGGGGTCAGGGTCGAGATCGAACCCATGCCATCCTGCATACCAGGCGATGTAGTTAACATCTCACCATCATGGCGCCGAAATGACCAGAGTGGTGAAGTATGCTAAACAAAACCACAGTTACCGACATGCCGTGGGGAGACCTTAATGCGTTGGTGGATGGAAAATATATGGCATTTATTTACTTTGTTTATTCGCAGTGTAACACAATGCCTTGTTTTGAAAGGGGCTTTGTAGTTTTTGGTTCGTAACGGCGTGAAGAATCCTCGGACGGATGGACGGGATGCAAGGACGCAATTACAGATGTAGACATTCGATTTCAGCTCGAAGAACCCGATGAGCTACAAAGCTCATTGTCCCCTGACGGGTGTCTGGCCCCCAGCTGCTGTGCAGTGGTGGAAAACTAGAGAAGAATTTCCATAGGTAGATTGAGTACCAAGGCACGGTATTAAGTAACCGATCTGCTCCATTAAAATGTCAATGCCCCTGTGCTTTCAATTGCCAGTGGCTGGGCCCTCTTTGCTGCCTACACAAATGAGGCCGAGTTTTTGCGCTCGGCAGAGATAGAAGAATCTAAAAGCCAAGCACCTGCATGCCTCGTCGTCGCTATGCGGAGAATTCCATTTGGCGACGGGGAAAAAAAATAGAGACAAAGGAAGCCTGTAATTGGCGTCAGCTGACGTATTGCTCAGCGTCTTGTTAATTGGTCCTGACAGGCGGGTGGGTGGGTGAGCGAGTGAGTGTGTTGCGTGGGTGGGTGAGTGGGCAAGATTGAACCAGTCCTGGGCCCTCCCGTAGGTCGATTTGACCTCAAATGAGCACCTGGTGCGGTATGTAAACATCGCTACTCGGGAGACAAATCTGGCCAGGCGTGGTGCTGGCTGGCCACCCACCCTCTCGTGTGCTATACCAGCCTTCATAGGTGCTACTCGCTAACAGCACTTGCCCCAAACATCTGTTAAGGCGACACAGAGGATCTCTGCCTTTTGGGCCAGTGAGCAGGCGATTGAGCAGGTATCTGAGTGATTGAGAAGATGATGATGATGCATCCTTACGTGGCTTGGCAGTGAGTGATCGGGTCAAGCATCCAGTTTGTAACGACGGACACGACGAGTGGGTTTGTGTTAAGACAGATTAGGTGCCCTTTTATTATAATCGGCTTAGAGCTCACCAACACGTTGGGGGACTCTCTTTTGAAAGGGAGACCTGGGATTAGATAGCACCGCGGTTTTGTTGGGCTATGCTTAGAGCAGAGACTCGTGAGCCTCGGAGCCCACGTTAACTTTTTCGGGGACCCCCAGTTAGACCTCTGGGTAGGTGGGGGGGGGGCATGGGGGGTAGCAGAAAAGAGGCAGGGTGTTTGTTAAAGCAGGCACACTAACGAGCTGCTCTGATGGGGCGTAACGAGGGGGTGGCGGGTCGCAGCCGTCGTTTCGCGTCAGCTCATCGCGCATCCGTCTGTGAATGGGCGCCAGCAGCCGCATTCCTGTGTGGCCCGAACGGCGGCGGCGGCGGAGGCGTTCAGAGTTTAACAACAGAGGCCGTTTAAGTTGAACCAGAGCCGAAACTACGGCTGCAAATAACTCAGGATTGTAACGGTTTACCAATTTTCGTCGTCTTCAGCAGTGAAGGTTAATCCACTGCTGGATGAAGGCCTCACGCCGCCGCCGCGTTCGTCGATGAAACGACCCACCCAGCACCTGCTCTCCACGCAAATCCGATTTCATCGCTCCATCTCCTCGGTCGGGCGTTCTCTTGGGCATGCTCAATCCCTTGGCTGCCGCTCACTATCCTTGACCGTTGGCTACATACAGTGTGAAAGAAGTTCAACATACATACATTTTAGCAACGTGTCCTTTGGATCCCTGGTTTTCTTAATCTATTGAATTGTCTATAAGCTGCATACCTTCTCTGATCTGTGTTCCTCTTCCTGCTTCTTAATATAATTCCACACATGCATCTCTCTCCAACCGACTTTTTGCCGTACTTTTCGCTTTTTGTTCCGCCTTAATGCTGTATCAATGGTTGTAGGAGTTATAAGGGATCGACAATTAGGTGTCGTCCAATTAATTTGATCAATGTTTTTTTTATGGCCATGGAGATAAATCGCCGTCGCTGAGAGTACGGTGCCAACTGTCACCAGATAAGTTTGCTCATTGCAACCAAAGCAGGCCGCAACTTTTCACCCACAGCGTCGCCTCCCGTGCCGAACGTGGACTCACTGGGTTTGACACTTGGCAAACTCACCCCACAGACAACTCGCTAAATCCAGAGCCGGGGGGCACGATTAGTCAATAAAGTCAATCAAGCGACGAAACATTCTTTCCTCTACTACTGTTTTCACGGCCCAATAAAAAAATATAAATAGCAGCCGCCTGATATCCTGCCACCCAAAGGCGAAACTTTTTCTTCCCCATCCACCTTCGTGCTATTCGATTTAGTCGAGTGGTTCTAAGCAGATTATCTACAGAGGGATTGATACTGGTAAGAACCTCCTGGTTACACCAGCCCACAGGGGATTATTGTGTCCGTCCGTCGTGCAGGGAGGGGTTGGGTGGGGGGGGAGGAGAGGGGCTGGGTGGGGAGGGGAGGGTGGGGAGGGGCTGGGTGGGGAGGGTGTGTAGGGGCTGGGTGGGGAGGGGCTGGGTGGGGGGTGGGAGGGGTGGGGCTGGGTGGTTAGGGGCTGGTCACCCTGTGGTGTCCTTATAAAACTCAACGTTTAACCTACTCACACCGGCTTGTGCCCGCCCTCAGTCGGGCATATTTGGAGAATACACCACGCCGCCGTTGACCCTGGCCATTGACCGAGTAACCCAACGTTCCTACCAGCTCCCTCCGCAGGAATGTGTTTAAACGTTAGTGTCGGTGGCACCGCGGCTCTGGCTAAACTCCCCCATCCCCTGCCTGTGCTCTGCGTAGGTCCAGCCGGCCGGGCTGTCGCAAGCGAGCCAGGACTTTTCATCGGAGGAGCTTGCACGGGTGGGTGACGTTCACATCTCGCCAGCGGCCGTGTGGTCAGATGCGATCGACTCGGTTTGCGTCGCATGTCGGGCGGCCGGAGTTGATTTGGCAGTGATGGTGACGGTGTTTTGATTGCAGCCGCGATGATACCGTAATAATAATGTCAATTGTTTATCCACCAAGGGTCGCTCTTTCAGAAGGATGCTGATACATTGGAAGGTTTGGACAGTTGCATTTTTAAAGGGTTACGTTTGGCAGGAATTCGGAGCACCCGGACAAAACCCACACACTCACGGGACTGTGTGCGTGGGCTTGCAAATCCCACTTGCTGTACTGCCATCGCCTGGTTGCTTTGCAGCAGAGTGGATTTTGGGAGCTTTATTCATCCTCTACGTGATCCCACCAACCCTCGTCTCCAAAGTGATGTTACGGAGGGAGTTCTTTGATTTGACTGGGAGACAAGTCAGATCTTAAATATAAGTTGGCGTCATTCGACCGAGCGGTGCTGTCATCTCAGAGCTTGACTCGCAATTCTAAAATCACGTAGAGTTGAAATCCGAGGTGGTAGGACAACTCAGCCTTGGGGTCACCAAAATGAGTACATTGTGGAAACTCAGCTATGGTTGGACTGTGATATAGACTGGCACCCGCCAATGGTGGAATTTCCAACAGATGAACGCCACCCCATGTTCATTTAAGCAGAGACATATTGACTTTATTTTTTTACGATTTTTACGATTATGCAAACAATGCCCTGACTGTAAGATTGGATGCCTCTATCAGGAGATTGGATACCTATATCAGGAATAGAACCGCGGTCTCCGACCCATCCGAGAATTGAGTAAGTTCATTTATAAATGCGCAACTTTTATAACCCAGGTCATCACGAGTGCGCAATATTTTTAATTCATTGTAAGCTGTATTCAATAGTTCTGTCTACCGAACTGGTTAAATGTCTGTGAAGAGTCTCGAACGTTGTGCAGCGGCGGTGGGGTCCAGGCTGATGGACCACTGAGTAGGTGAGTGGGTGGGTTAGTGGGTAAGTGAGTTCCAGGGAAATGGACTGCTCAGTAGGTGAGTGGGTGGGTCAGTGGGTGAGTTCCAGGGAAATGGACTGCTCAGTAGGTGAGTGGGTGGGTGAGTACGCGAGTGAGTGAGTGTGTAGGTGAGTGGGTGGGTGAGTACGCGAGTGAGTGTGTAGGTGAGTGAGTGGGCGAGTGTGTGAGTGTGTAGGTGAGTGGGTGGGTGAGTACGCGAGTGAGTAAGTGTGTAGGTGAGTGGGTGGGTGAGTACGCGAGTGAGTGAGTGTGTAGGTGAGTGGGTGGGTGAGTACGCGAGTGAGTGAGTCTGTAGGTGAGTGGGTGGGTGAGTACGCGAGTGAGTTGAGTCTGTAGGTGAGTGGGTGGGTGAGTACGCGTGTGAGCGAGTGTGTAGGTGAGTGAGTGGGTGAGTGAGCGAGTGAGCGAGTATGTAGGTGAGTGGGTGGGTGAGTACGCGAGTGAGCGAGTGTGTAGGTGAGTGGGTGGGTGAGTACGCGAGTGAGTGAGTGTGTAGGTGAGTGGGTGGGTGAGTACGCGAGTGAGTGAGTGTGGGTCGGTGAGTTCCAGGCCGATGGACCGCCGACAACGAAGCTCCGAAGTCCAAATCGACTAACCAACTCGCCCACTAGTAGATCGAATTACATTTCAATTATTCAACTGTACAGCTCTAACACTGTAATGCCTGCGCATCCAATCCTCGCCTCCCATTCCGACCCTTCTCCCCTGCCCCTCGACGCAGCCCTGTGAGCGCCAGGTGCTGGTCTTCAACCCGTCGCTCGACGTCTCTCACGCTGGCGGCGCAGCCACTGGGGACGAGCTGCCTGACGAGTTTTTCGAGGTGACGGTGGATGACGTGCGCAGGAGGATGGAGCAGCTGAAGAGGGAGAGGTGTGAGATGAGTCGGGTGTGTGCGTGCGTGTTTTTGTGTAAGATGGGGAATGGTAGCGTAGTGGTTAGCGCCGCTGCGCTACGAACCCGGCGACCCGAGTTTGATTCCCGCTCACGGCCAACACCGGTGGCATTTATCTGAACCGGTACTGGGCCTCCCCTAGGTCAACTTAGCCTCAAATGAGTACCTGGGTGCGGTGTATAAACATCAGCACTGCGGAAACAAAGGCGGCCAGACGTGGTGCTGGGCACCAACCCCTTCGATTGCTGTGCCGACCTTCATAGGTGCTCGCTAACAGCACTTGCCCCAACATTCTGTTATGGGGGATCTTTTGTCTTGTCTGTGTTGTGGGGAGTGGTAGTGTAGTGGTTAGTGCACCGTGCTACTAACACGGCAACCTCACGTTCGATTTCCGCTCAGGACTAATAACAGTGGTGAATATTTTTGTACCGGTCCTAGGCCTCCCATAGGTCCACTCAGCCATCCATAAGTACCTGCTGGTGTGTAAACAACACTGGGGAGACAAAGGCGGCCGGGCGTGGTGTTGGCCACCCACCCCCTCGTGTGCCGTGCCGACCTTCATAGGTGCTCCCTAACAGCACTTGCCCAAACAGTTTGTTAAGGCTATGCTGGGGGATCTTTGTCTTTGTGTGCTGTCTGCATCATCAGGATCAAGATGGAGGAAGCTCCCCTTACCACCCAGGCACTCAGAGAGTCGCAGGAGCTGGAAAAGATGAAACGCTACCCGCAGGTGGGTGAAGGCATTCCCTCGTCGCCCTCACCTCGTATGTGTGTGTGTTGAGCTTCTTTTGCACCGTACAAACCCAACCGTGCTAATTGGAGGTGTGGGGGAAGGACAACAAACTAACATGCACGACTAATGAAGTACATGAGATTAAAAGACAAATATCCCCCGTATAGCCTTAACATACTGTTGGGGCAAGTGCTTTTAGCGATCAGCTTTGAAGGCCAGCACGGCACACGAGGGGGTGGGTCGCCAGCACCACGCCCGGTCGCCTTTGTCTCCCCCAGTGGCGAAGTTTACACACCGCACCGGGTACTCATCGCGTTGCCAGCGTTTTTCCTGAAGCTCTGCAGAGATGATAATTGTTTTTACCCTTTTATCTGGCAACAAAACTGACACCTTTTTTACAAGGAGACATGTTTGCATTGACCACAATTCCTGCGGTCGGAATGCAAACAAAAAACACAACTCTGATAATGTATGCACTGTAAAAAAACAATTATCATATTTTGCTACTGGCAAAGGAGGTTCCAATGGTGTAAATGCTTACCCCGAGCTCTCATACTCTGATGGTGCATTGTCCTTGAGTTGTGCGCCTTTTGGCGTCATCTGGTCCAACACCATGTGAGACTAGGCTCTAAGAAAAGCTGTCTCGGGTGTGGACCAATCAATTTCTCAAGGACAGTGTATACATTATCAGAGTTGTGTTTTTTGTTTGCATTCCGACCGCAGGTATTGTGGTCAATGCAAACATGACTCCTTGTAAAAAAAAGGTGTCAGTTTTGTTGCCAGATAAAAGGGTAAAAAAGCAATGATCATATTTTGCTACTGGCAAAGGAGGTTCCAATGCTCTGCAGAGATGGCTGTGTGGAGCAGGCTCTCCGTGTTAGACCGTCCTGGGAACAGGGCCCGTTTGATCAGCTGCCGTCTCTGTCCCACCACGTTAGGTCGTTATCCGAGTGCAGTTCCCCGACCGAAACATCCTGCAAGCGGTCTTCAGGCCAAATGAACCAGGTAAGAGCTGCCCCAGCCCACGGCAATTTCAGGTCATCATCCGCATCATCAGCTGAGTGAAGGCCTCCCTAAGCGCGATCCCACCTCTCATCATATTTTATACTTGGAGAGCGCCTTAGCACAGGGCTGTCTATAACGTGGTGGTTCAAAAGCGGTCACCAAAAATAGAGTGAATTGAGATGGCAGGGGCAGTGTGATGGCTCAGGAATGAGTGACCGTAACAGAGGGAACATGGGGGTTCCCGACAGCGCAGGGGAGGGACAGGAAGGAGTGGAGGGGAGGGAATGGGAGCAGAATGGGCGATGGAGAAGAGGTGAGGCTTTCAGGGAGGAACGAAAGGAAGTTAAGGAGGGAGGTCTGCTTAATGTACCGGGCAGTGTTGAGTCTATTGGGCAGTGTTGAGTCTACAGGCAGCAGTGTTGAGTCTATGGGCATTGTTGAGTCTATGGGCAGCGTTTAGTCTATTGGGCAGTGTTGAGTCTATGGGCAGCGTTTAGTCTATGGTGCAGTGTTGAGTCTATGGGCAGTGTTGAGTCTATGAACAGTGTTGAGTCTATGAACAGTGTTGAGTCTATGGGCAGTGTTGAGTCTACGGGCAGCAGTGTTGAGTCTATGGGCAGTGTTGAGTCTATGGGCAGTGTTGAGTCTATGGGCAGTGTTGAGTCTATGTAGTGGATAACAAATCTAAAATTGCATCTTGAATCTGCTGTTATTAATGCATACGAAAGAAGAAGAAGATCTCTGAAAAATAACGAACAGCTCGGTGGGCTTTACCTGTTCAATGAAATCTTTTAGTGTTGATTACAATTCTGGTGGTGATGATGATGATCACAGCACAGAATTTAACGATGAGCCACAACGCTCACAGCTACCACCACGTTGATTCATCTACCTTTTTCTTTTTTTTAACGAGTAGGGCTTAATCGAATTGTGGACGTTTTATTAATTGGAATCGGGAAATGTACATGACCTGTTGCCTGTGACTTGGCAGTGTGTGCGCTGGTGGAGTTGGTGAGGTCGTGCCTTGAGGAGCCAGCCCCGCCCTTCTACCTGTGTGAGTGTGGAACGCACAACAACCACACGGCTCTCAGAGTGCCTTACCCGAGCCCCTTGCGATTCACCGGTTCGCAACAAAAGACGCAGATCCCCCGTGCACAATGCAGAGTCGCCGGTGCAAATGATGTTCGTGAGCACCTATTGAGGGACGGTACATCACACGAAGGGGGTGATTGGGCAATTAGCCACTCCCAGCCACCTCCCCTGTGCCGATATTTACTGATCGTTAACCTTTGACCCTTGTCTCATCTGATACAGAATCAAGAACCATTTGTCTCATCCAATGCGTCCGTGACTTGAGGACGTGGTTTTGAACGCACGCCGTGTCTGTCCCTCCCCGAACCTCCCTGCGTCCCCCCGCTGCGCAGACACTGCCCCTCCGAAGCGAGTGCTGGATGCTCCCACACAGACTCTCTTCAAGGTGAGCACGGCCGTGCACTCGTAACCCTTCACGCGACTGTCTTGTCCATCTGTCTTGTCTGTTCATCCATCCGTATACAGACGAAAATCAGTTGTAAAGAGATTAGTTTTCAATCTAGATTATTTAAAAGTGTGTAGAGAAGTTCCCACGGACGCACTCGGAGACGAAGGTAAATTATGGGCTTCCGCCAAAGGTTTATTACTGGTTAACAATAGCACACAAGGGTACACAACTCCCAGGGGCTAGAGGTCCTACACTGAGTCCTGGTCCCTGCCCGGCTAGCTCCAGTCTCTCTCGTGTCGGATCGGGGACTCTTCCGACTACACCGACTGGAGAGAGAAGCACCTCTATGGCTACCACCGGCTTCTCCCCAGACTCAGGACTCGATCCCTCTCTACCCCTGATTCCCTCTTCACCATTCCTACTCTACCCGTTCCCACAGTGACCCCGCTTTCGTCATCGCACTGGACGGCACACATGACGTCACGTCCCCATTTTATTCCTCTACAAGTGCATAGCTCCTCCAGTGGCTTCCTAATATCGAAAGGAAGAGCGTTCCAGACAACCGCAGAAGCACATCCGTCTATCTATCCGTCTGTCTGTTCATCCATCTGTCTATCCGTTTGTCGGTCTGTCTCCAACCGTCCGTCCATCGGTCTTTCTCCATCTTGTCTATTTGTTCATCCATCTGTCCAACCGCCTGTCTGACCATCCGTCCATCCGTCTGACCATTCCTCTGTCTATCTCTCCATCCATAACAGAGGGGGCACTATAACTATCGTAAAGGTAAACCGGTGTTAACCAACATACTGTTGTATAAAGTTGTGTTCCTATTGGGGACTTGCGCTCTTAAAAACGGAGCCAAATTTATCAAAGGGGTTGCCCAAAACCTTGAGACACACACCAGAGCAAAAATGTATCTTCACAAATATGTAAAGTTTGGCCCCCAAAGCCATCATCAGCTTCCGTACTGCTAAATCAATACTTCCGAAGATGGACGCATATTGGAAAGCATTACATAATCCGTGCTTATTCATACATTTTTTTGACTTCTTCTTAACTGTTGTCTTTTTTTCCCAAATTTTGTTCCAACTCGGCTATCGACGTAGAGTCCTTTTGGAAAGGAGATATCACAGAACTACTTCTGAAATCCCTGCAAGTGACTTTATCAGTGGGGCGCCAGGGTGGTGCAATGTTAACTCCCTTGCCTGGTATACAGGAGGTTGTGCGTTCGATCCCGACCCTGACGCCTGCTGTATATTTTGAGTTTGCATATTCTCCCCGTGGTCGCGAGTTATTTTTTCTCCGGGTCCTCCAGTTTTTCCTTCCGCATTTAGAATCGACGTGCATTCGTAGAGTATTTGGCTCAAATGAATTCCCACGCGATGAGCCACTTAGTCGAGCCGCCATTTGTCGCCATGTCTCTTCTGAAAAAGGAGCTACACAGCTCGGTGGGGCTTAGCTGCGAAGATAAAAAGTTTAAATAGTTTCATCCGCACACTTGGGTGGCGTATTTTCACGAGTGCTCTGCTAGAGAGAAATGTTCGTCACCTGGCTGTCAAACTGCTACTTTTTATTTTTTATTTCTCACAGCTGCAACTTTGCAAAAGTTAGGTGAAAACCCCAATTTTAATGTTGTAAGGCTTTTGTTCTTGCGCAGTCAATATTGACATGGGCTGACAACGGAATCTCGCTCCGCATCGCCCATTAGTGGGCTACGTATGGTGCCAAAGAAGTTCAACATACGTACAAACATTGAATTGTACCATATTCTGTAATTTACAGGAATGTTAACTTTTACAAATTCCACCTGCATTACCAACATGATCAAATGTTTATGATTTTTCAAGCTCGCTGTTAAATAAATGGATGAACTGCGTTCAAAGTGGACCCAAAACCTTTGGGTGGGGGGTGTGGTGTGGAGTGCACAAGGGGAACAATGCGTTCCCCCGTTTTCTCGCTAACGAGCTAAACAGCCCGGCCTAGGAATAGCTCCTCACGGGCTTCAAAGGGGGGCGTGGAGGAGAGCGAAAATCACTCTCCCGGGAAGAGAGAGGAGGGAGACAGAGAGAGAGAGAGGAAGAAAAAAAAAACCTTAACCGTTTTCACGTCCGTAATTTTTCGTCCATAACTTATCCTGCGGCAAACAGTTTTGAAGACTCCTTTGTTTTCTTAGACTTTTTTCTTTCTCTCGAGTTTGCAAATATGCGCGCGTGTGGTTTTCGAATCAAGTGTCCACTGCGCAGGACTTGCCGGTAGCTTTATTCAGTGGCAGCGGCAGCAGCAGCAGGAGCAGAAACGGTCGCGCTGGAACGTGCTTAAATCGATTATTTTGGCGGCTCTTCGCCGTAATAATAAAGCGCGGGGCGAGGTTTGGCGCGTGTGCTGTGTTTACTGCCGGAGCCCAGAATCTCTTTAGCCCCCGCTCGCCCGGACAGATGCGAGAACGTGAAAAATGAAAACGCCTCCAGCTTCAATTTGTTTGCATTTGCTTGAGCGTCGTTGTTCGGCTCTTGTCGGCTTCGCCTTTTAAAATTCACTGGCTTATTGGTTAAAATATTTCACCTGGATGAACGCGACAAGCTTCTGATGATGATGTTGGTGGTGCGTACGTACCGTACGCAAGTTATTTGGTGAAGCTCTTGTCGGTTGGCAGTGGTGCACAACCACAAGTAACACACAACTCAACACAATTGTAAATAACACTCTAGCCTGATACTAAAAAATATAAAATAGGCAACGTTTTGGAAAATGGCCCATTGCCATTATAAGAACGGCCATTGCCCCAATCGTTGTCTCAGTGTATTTTGTTTCTTTTAAGGAATGTTATTGACGGATATGTTGAGTGTTTTTGTTAATAATTATAATGATGATGATTATTACTCGAAATGGAACATCTCATTTTGGAAGGGTGCCCTGGATGTCACCTGCCACACGCTTAGCAAAACGCGTATGCTGACATTTTAACACGTATGCTGACATTTTAAAACATATATCACTCTTTCAGTTTCGATTCACACAATAAATATGTATGCTGAACTTCTTTCACACTGTACGTAGCCAACCGTGCAAACCATTAGGAGGTGTGGGGGAAGGACAACAAACTACATGATAAAAAGCAGTTCTTTAAGAAATTAGTTTTCAATCAAGTGCATAGCCCCGGTGTATGTGGGGGTGGGAGGCTAGTCCATGCAGGACCTTGAAGAGAGTGAGTGTGATCTGGTATGCGCGAGTGAAATGTGCCACGCGAATAAAGTTGTGCTAGGTGACTGAGCGACTGAATAAATATATCCGCATGTTGCTTGAAGGGTCCTCTTGAACTCTCGCGCAGGCAAACCTCTTTCCCACCTCCCTCGTTCATTTTGGCTGCACGGTGAAGAGAGGTGAGTGGCGAGTGACACACACACACACACACACGGGTGCTTTGGCACGTACCCAACTGTTGTTGAAAATTTTGTCGCGTCTTTGCTGCAGCAGTTGGATTGTTGCGCTGTGTGTTCCATAGAAGGTGGCTATGTCGGGATACATGCTGCTGCTGCTACTGTTAGATGGAGCGGTTCTCGCTTGCGCTGTCCCGTGCCCGGTGCAGCTCTTGGAGGCTGTCGCCTGTGTGTGCTGCTGTTGCCACAGATCACTACCTCAAGCTGGCTATCCTAGAGGCCACGGAACCACAGGTCCATGCTGATGCCATCCTCTGCAGGTGAGATTGTCAGCCAAAAGCACGGGATTCTGCAGTTGTTGGCAATTACTGAACACGTTCTATAGCCAATTTTGCAGTTATATCCCAAGCGCAGTGAGCTGATGCAGCACACGCCAGACGATATCCGAGTTCACGACCTGATGGAAGCGCAAAGCGGCTTGAGAAAAACTTCGTCAAACGGTGTCGGATTCAGTTGTGAAGAGTCGAGAAAGCCCGCTGGGTCAGGAGCTCTATTGGTCAGAAATTGGTGAAAAAAATCAGTTTAAACATAAAAATAATGTGTTTGTAAATGTGACAGTCTTGTCGAGTGTCAGGTTAACGACCAAAGCCTTTGTCATAAAATTGCCACGTCGTCCAACCCAAACACTAATGTGGCTCATCAATCCAATTCTGCGGTCGTCTTTTCCAATCGGTGACTCTCACAAGGCAGCGTGACCTCATGTTAGACAACGGCCCGTGGAAGGAGATATCGCGGAACTGCTGCTGAGGTCCCATCCCTTCAAAGCGACCTTTTCTATCCACACGCCCTGGCAGTCTTAGTGCTCAAGAGTGGCAAACCAGAGAACGGAACGCACACGAGGAGATGGAGCGGTGAGATCGGTTCACGCGCAGGAGCTGGCTGGATCGTTACATCGTGGGGTGTGAGAGGTGGTGGCGGTGGTTTGGGTGGGGGGTGGGGGGGTGGGAGGCCTTCATCCAGCAGTGGGTTGATCATGGCTGACGACGACGATGATGACGAGTGCTCGCTGAAGCAGTGCCAATATTTCAGAACTACAGGTCGTCTGCAAGCTCTTGTTTTCAAATCACAGAATGCTGTATTTGACAAGACGTGTAAAATTAACAGAGTAAGTGCTGTATCGAGATCATTGGCAGGCTTGAAGTGGGCCGTATGCTCACATGCGTGCAAATGCCTCTTACGGTGTTACACGATTGACCTTCGGGTATTCACAGAAAGGTATTTGAACGTCCTACTGTGTACAAACGGAGCTCCTTTGCATTAATGCAAATAGTTGAGACGTTTGAGTTATCATCATCAGGCATGATCAATCCACTGCTTGATGAATGCGTCTCAATCCATCGTGACCGTCACGGTGATTAGATGTAACCAATGCGCGGAGGGCGGCGTCTGCGCACGAGCCGATTTCGCCGCTCCCATCTCCTCGATGAGCAACGACCTCGAACGCATTCCTGCGCCTGTGAGCATTTAAAAAAAATGGTTTTCAGCTCTTGGCCTACCCCCACCTTGCACCTCCACCCCTTGCCTGTCGGTAGTGGAGTGGCGGGGGGGGTGGGCCGGGGGGGGCTTTGCTTCACTCGACCTGGCTCGTGGCCACCGTTGAGGCTTGGACAGATTTTGCGAGCGCGATGAAAAACTACTTCCAAGAATGCGAAGTGGGAAAACGGAGAAGCGATCTTACGATAAATGCCGCACCCAGAGCGGGCCAGGGATATCGCTCGAAGCCGCTGGCGTTTTGTTTACACCCGGCTTGATGAACAAATTACACCCCAGAGGTGGCCCAGTGACTGGGGGGCTAGGTGAGGTGGGGGGGGCGGATGGGTAGGAAAGAGTTTGTAGTTGAGGCACTGATGCTAACCAACTCGCGTTGGAGCCACTGAGGCAGCGTCGCTAATGTCCATGGTTCCGATTCGATTGTCCTACGAGTTGGGACATTATCGTACGTAGTTCATTCCATGGTCTCATCTTGTGTCCGCGAGAGGCCCGATTATTGGGGCTCATCCCGCAATTCCGTGATACTTGCCTCTATGGACGTCCACGTGTAAGTAGTGATCGTGATGTGGCGAGTCGCTGGTCACACGGCGCGGTAAGTGAACGGTTTGAGGTGAATGCTCAGAAAGATCCGTAAAGAAGGCAACTGGCGCGCCGTTCATTTGTGTCATTTGTGAACTTTATCATCGTCATTGTCTTCGTCGTCGTTGCCATGGTCCACTCGGGAAACTGCTCGTTGGCAACTTTGTCACTGATACCAGTAGGAGCCTTTACTTTACGCATGGCCCAGTGCCTACTGCATGGTTGGGCGACAAGGAAGACAACATTCAAAAGTAACAGAATAATATTTATACTGGAGGAATTTGATTAGCGCTACAGCTCTTTTTCACAGATGTCTACTATTGGACAAAACCCCTTGCCCCCAGTATTGGTGCAGAAGTTATGGAAACATCCATGTGTGTTTGTGCGTGCGTGCCCATAGTGTCCTTCCCAAGACTCCAGTCCCCGGCGCAGCGGCCTCAGCGGCCGTCATGTATCCAATTCCCGACTCCTGCGAGGCCTGCGATGATGACCCAGACCCAGAACCCGTGGCCGGGCCGAGCCACGAAGCCTCCAGGCCAACTGCCACCGTTCCCAAGTGGCTAAAGCTGCCAGGTGAGAGAGCCACTTGAGGGATAGACGAAGAGCCCCCTTCCCCCCTCCTCCTCCTCTTGTCCCACACCTCCCCCACCCTCCCACCCACTGCCCCACCCACCCTCCCAACACCTCTACGCATCTCCCAGCCGCCGGGGATGGATGTGGACGAAGCTAGCGACTTGGGGGCCGCGTTGGAATGAGCGCTCGTTCTTTGTCAAAATAATTCACCTTCCCCTCCGCGCTCGGGTGCGAGAGGCTTTGATCCGGGGCCAAGGGCGCACGAGACGGGAGAGTTTGGAGTGCGTGTGCACCAGCTTTTCCTGGCAGTGCCTTCTCCGCGTGCTTTCCCCTCTTCCCTCTCCATCCCCACCACTGCCGCCAAAACCGCTGCCAGCACCGCCAACCATTCCAGCCTCGACGTAATTTTCTCAAACATCCCTGTGGCTTCCCGAATTGTTGACTGCCGATGCTGGTCGCCCAAAGAAAACCAAAAAAAACTCCGCGTGATGCAAAAAAAACAATGTGAATAATACTCGCTTGTGATTTTGCCTGTGTTGTCGTGTTTCTGCGCAGGAAAGAGGTGAGCAGACCTCCGCCAAGTCGGTGTTTTAAAAGGAACGCCGTTTGGGGAATCGTCACAGAGTTTTCGCGCGACGGGTGTTTGCCGAACCGCCGTGTAAATTGCACTGCGGGTCGTCTCGCTTAAAAACAAAACGCGAACGATGCACTCTTAAACGCGAGCGTAACGACCGAGGTCTGTTGCGTACTTTTCTTCCCGCACTGGAAATCCGAATTGTTTGTCGATGTTTGTAATAAAGGACACGTTCTGGTGGCGGCCGTGCCTCTGTGGTGATGTCCGGCTTGCGGAGGAGCGGTGAGCAAACGTGGTTTGAGCGGTGTTAGGACCTGTGTTGTGCTGAGGTGCCTCGCTTCGCCGAGCGATCGGTGGGCTGAGTTGAGATATTTTAATGCTCGGGCTGACAGTCCACTTCGTTTCTCAGGAGCATTATTTACGACACCTTTCCATCGCCTCTGAATCCAATCGTAGTGACACTGTCATCTACATTGGCTCTAATCTGGTCATATGTATGACATGGTGATGGTAGTGATGATGAAGGTGGTGGTCACCACGGTGACGAGATGTTAACTACCTCGCCTGGTATACACGAGGTCGAGGGTTCGATCCCTGTATATTTGGAGTTTGCACGTTCTCCCCGTGGTCGCGTGGACTTTTCTCCAGATCCTCCGGTTTTTCCCTCCACATTTAGAAACATGCGTATAGCATATTTGGCTGCTATAAATTTCCATCTGAAAAGCCACTTCGTGGAGCTATCATTTGTGGCCAGGTCGCTTCTGAAAAAGAGCTACATAGCTCAGTAGGGCCTTGCCTGGTAAAAATAAAAAAAGTTTACTTTTTAGATGGTGATCGAAATTGTTATTTATTATTACGCTTGTTTACCAGGGAAACCTCACTTCTTCTGGAGGATCCTACCGAGGTTCGAAATATGAGAGAAAATTTTTGTCAAGTTGTGCAATCCCAATTGAGTAATGTGCAGGGAATCTTTCACCATTGCGATGTTTGGCCAATTCCATTTGCATCGTATCGTGTTCCATGCCATCGGAGAAAACCGATGCAGAACAGGGGGAGCGCATACTCCCCGCACAACAGAGGTCGCAAACGGGTTTTGATTCCTTACCCGTACCCGTACCCGGCCGCACCAGGGTCGCAAACGGGTACCCGTACCCGGCCGTGTACGGGTAGCCGGGTATCGGGTAGGGTACGGCTATCGGGTACCCGATTGCGACCTCTACCGCACAATGGACATGTAACTTGTTGAGATGAGATCATGCAACTCGTGACACGGGTAAAATATTTCAGGGACATATGGCCGTAACTGAAGTGCGGTGCCATGGTCGGTTTGTCTCGAGCGCCAGGCGAGCGAGGTGGTGCCTTCGGGCGCCTCTTCAAAACTCGAACATCGAACGTTGCCGCTGCTGCTGCTCGTGGTGGTGCTGCTGCGAATGTGCGGCGGCGGCAGCGGGACGCTGATGATGCCCGCGTTCCAGACGGACAGGGTCCCGTGCTCCCGGGGTCTTTGCTGTATGGAGGAGGAGGAGGAGGCTGTGAGTCGAGCTGCAGAGAGTTCGCGCCGTGAGCCGACGGTGACTTGATGGTCACTTTAAGATGTTTTCTTGTTCGTTTTTTTGTTTGTTGCGGTTGCACCCGATTCAAGAGCCGAATGGCTCACAGGGATATACCTAATAACTGAAACTGATGGTGCGTTCGCTACAAACGCGCAGCGGCAATGGGGACGACGACAGTGACGGGAGTTGAGATTCGGTGACGACGTTGCCGCCGATGACACGGATGAGAGACGCTCCTGGTAAATAACCGCGACGCTGTCTGACGCTCGGTGCCGATGCCGCCGCCAGCGAACGGTGATTTATGATGATGAAGTGATGACGGAAGAAGCCGATGATGGGGCGGCGTTTGAAGGCGAGCGGGGGGGTGTGTGTGATGGGGGGTCCCTTCGCACCGGCGGCACCACCCACGGAGACGAAAACACGCGCGCACGTGGTCGCACGCACGCAGGCACGCGCGCCCACACAGATACTCGCACGGTGGCGGGGAGCGCGCAGAACATTCCTCGGCAGGCCCATCGGAGCACGGGGGGGGGGGGGGCCCAGCTGGAAGCTCGGAGGGTTAATCTGAAGGCCAGGTGGTGACATAGGTTAAGGTTTAGTAAAATTGATGTGGCCTGGAGGTTGGGGGTGGTGAATTAATCGCTCGGGGCCGGTGTCTCTGCTCCTTTTGGGGGCTTTGTCATGGCCGTGTTAAAGCCACGGAGCTGGCACTACTTCTGATGGTGGAGCTGATTCGTGCCGGTCGCATTGAGGGCTGCCCGTGACGGTGCTGGTCACAGTGGCGGGTTAGCGCGCCGTGCCACGAACCCACCAACCCCGAGTTTGATTCCCGCTCGCGGCCAACATCAGTGACGCCACTGGGGAAACAAAGGCGGTCGGACGTGGTGGCCACCCACCCCATTGTGTGCCGTGGCACTTGGCTCCAACAGTCTGTTAAGGCTACGATGTATATTTGGTAGTGTAAGGTCGATAATGTGAGGAACCTCAGGCCTGCAGGCTGGGTATCCCTCGTAACAATTTCATGAGGCCACAGGAGGTCTACGGACTTCTAAACAGCCCACAAAATGTGTTTTAGGGCGAGACATAACTACCTCGCCTAGTATACAGGAGGACGTGGGTTCGATCTCGACCCTGACGCTTGTATATTTGGAGTTTTCGCGTTTCCCCGTGGTTTGTGTGGATTTTCCCCCGGGTCCTCCGGTTTCCCCCACCACATTTAGAATCAACGTGCGCTCAGAGTAATTGGCTGCTATTCATTTCCTCGTGATGGGCCACATCATCGAGTTATCATTTGTGTCCAGGTCGCTTCTGAAAAAACAGCCATATACATACATCTTAGCCACAGCCACACTTATCGAGTATTGGAGAGGGGGGAGAGCATTATCGATTTGTAAACACAGGCTGCCTAAATTTAGTTATTGAAAGGGCTTCTTCCGAATTGTGTGTTCTGGAAACTGAGAACTTAAAAAGAGTACAGAATAAGATAGACCCACTTGCACAAAGACCCACAACAATTCCCTGTATAGCCTCAACATTATCTATTTGGGACAATGTAATAAAATCGACGCTCGTATTTATATTTGATGATGACGCTGCTAATGGTGATGGTGAGGATGGTGCCTCCATGTCTCACCCTGCCACACGTCAATCTCACGCTTGCACTCGTCAATCTCACGCCATCAGCTGGTGGATCTCGGGCATTGAACATCGTATCAACCAAAGATCTGCAAGGGCAAGAACGAAACAAAAACTAGAGCAGGAGCGCAAACAAAATACAGTTGAAGAAAACAAAACATGACCCTTCACGTCAAATATCAAGACGTGCGAAATAGTTATTCTTGCATTGCAAAAAAAAGACCCACATTTCTTGCATATTTCACATTTGAAATGAAAACAAATGCTCTCTCTTGATCTTCTCAACGAGTTGAGAGAGAAAAAAGGAACGAATTTTTTTTGACTGAAGTCTCCTTCACCACCTTGTTGGTGCTGCTGTGTGGAGGCTCGAACTCACGGCAATGTGGGTCGGGGAGAGTCCACCAGACATAAACAACACATTTATCCAAAAGGCTTCACTCGAGCACTTCAAAGTGTTTCTTTAGGAATGGGCGCTCATTACTTTCACGAGAGATGTACAAAGGTGTACTAGAGCTGGCCGGTGTCTGCTGCGTTGTAATATTTTGCAATCTGTGTCAACAATGAGCATCTTTGCTTGTTTCTTAAGATGCGATGTCTGCCGAACTGTTTATGTACAGAGAGAGAGCTGCAGCGAGGCTGTGGGTTGAGAGGGTTTGAGTTCAAATCCCACTGGGGGCATTGTAAATACCATCTTGTCGTCACCACCACCACAATAACCATCATTGCCATCACTGCCGTTACTATCATCGCCGTCGCAATTACAGCATCACCACCACCAACCATCGCAACTATATAATAACCGCCAACCACACAATCAATACTCAAAACTCCCGACTATCACACCAATAACAATCATCACCACCACTAATACCACCACTAATATGTTAGAAATAATCCCTCAGTGTGGTCTTAACAGACTGTTGGGGCGAGTGCTGTTAGCGAGCACCTATGAAGGCCAGCACTCCCACCACCTTGCACCGCATCCTCCTCAATCACCTCCACCACATCCAACGCCACGATTACCACCATCGCCTCAACCACCACCACCACTGCCAGCCCACCCCCCACTCCCCACCCCTCTCACGCAGCCCCTACCCCACCACTCGTGTCGGTTGGATCAAAGCTTCGCCTCTCGTCTCGCTTTCATCCCCATTGAGCGTCGAGTGGAGGCCGTGGAGAAAATACTGACCCCGTCTAACCTTCGCTCTCCTCCCCTCTCTCCCCTCGCCTCGTTCTCCATCATCTCTGTCCATCTCTCCCCAAGTCTCTCCTCTCGCCCCTCTCTCTCTCTCTGTCCCCATCGCTGTCGTCGAGTGTGCAGGCGGTGTAACTGCATTGGGCACAAGGGCCCACGCGTTGGACCACGAAGGTGGGAACTTGGATATGGGGCCCCATTTAAATGTTTGCACCAATGCCCTTGCTAACCACTGACCCACTCCTCATAGAACTCACTCCCTTACACGTCTCTCTATCTCTCCAAATGGTCTCTTCTTATTTATCTCCCCCTCTCTCCCTCTATATTCGTACCTCTCGATAGCCACCATCTCTTACAGATCATCCTCCATCACCAGGAAGATCTGAATTGGGCATCATATAAATCGGTGCTCCTCACCAATTTTAAGAGAGTTGGGCCACTTCCGCCGAACAGTCATCGTCAGTGTGAGAGCCGCCGCACATTTGAGGAAGCCATTGTTGGGTTTGACAGCACGATGGTGATGGTGGTGGTGGGTGTTTTCACAATTTGTGTATTGATGTGTTGTATTGTCGGGGAGCTGCACGTCAAGGTTTCTAGTTGCCCCATGGACTTGCAATGAACAACACTGACACGGACGCCTTTACCGTACACAAACTCATCACTTAAACGCAGCTTGATAAATATTTCCCTTGGAAGCCAACAAACATACCGGTTGGATTTCAATAGAAGCCCATTTATATGTGGAGACACAGGGCGGAATTCAGCGTATGATTATGGATGCGTTTATCCATCGCCGTTTTGTCGGTTTCAAGTCTGCGAAGCGAATGCGTGGAGATGGCTGGCGATATATTTTACGGACCCCACAC